ATGGTAAGATAGCAACATCTAAAGGAGGAGGAAAAGAACATCTAAGACCTTTTGAGTAGGTAGATTTGCTCCTAGTTACTCGCTTGCTCACAACAAAAACATTTCATACACCAACACTCTCATTTTGAAACATTTTCTAAAGACAAACACTTTGTATGCGTTCTTATAGAAATGAGAGCCATTTCAAAGACACCTTTTCAAAATCACTTTCAAAAACACATTACACAAACACTTCTTTGAACTATTTTTAAAACGACACTTTGTACGCGTTCTTATAGAAACGAGAGCCATTACAAAGTCACATTTTCAAAATACTTTCAAAACCCACGCCACAAGCACACTTTCAAACAAAATCAAGTGGTCTAGCAAGCAACTAAGAGCACGTAGATAACTACGGATGAAAAGGGTGCTAATACCTTCCCTTTTCATAATCTACCCTCGGACTCATAAATAATCTCTAAAGGTCTTTCCTGTTCTTTTCAGCTTTTCCTTATTGGATAAAAGAAAATTCAGTGGCGACTCTTGCTATCCGCAACAATCGCGATAAAATGCAAAACACCCAAGTCAGTTCTCCCACCGTGTTACACAGTTAAACTACCCAGCTCGGTGGTTTCCACCGTCTTCTCCGGCATGGGAGTTTTCTGATCCTGCAAAACATGATGAAATAAAGTAAATGAAAGGGCATATCCACCTTATTCAGCCATTGTGAATTCAATGGTGGTGGCCGTTTGGGCTGAAATGGCCTGTATTTCCCAGATCGAAGCTTAACGAACTTAAAAACCTATCAATGGCAATATGCATTTCAAGCTTCAAAGCTCGCATGAGTTACGTCTAACCTATCCTAAATGGTCTCACAAACATATATCAATGCACAAAAAGAGTTTATATAACATGAATAAAAAGTTTGAGATCTAAGAATGTGAGCAAACTGGAGCAACTTGTATGCACGATCCAGACGTGCTTCAGGCTAGGGTAAAGACTTGGATGAACTCTTGAGATCTTTAAAAAGCTATTGGACTGCTTGGAATTGACTGAAGATGGCTGGAGATGGGAGTTTGAAATTGGGCAACTTTGAATTTTTTTTGTAATTTTACGTGGCTCTCTTAGGCAATGGTATGCGTGTGTTAGGCTTGCAGGTGTGCTGCATATATAGAGGAGTGATGAGAGAAAACAAATGTTGAAAGAAATCATCCAATTAAGCCATGGTTTAAACACTAAAATCAAATATGAAAAAATTCCAAAAATGGTCATTCTTGCTCATTTGTTTGGGGGGTGAACCTGGACAGCCTTGCACGAAATTATGGGCCTAAAATCAATCCAAACCAATGGCCCAAGTGTCATGATCCATCATTCACTATTTTATACAATTTATCTTGTATTTATGTGAATAAAAACAAAATAAATATGAATAAAATAGATAAAAAATGCAAAGCAGGTAAGAATTAATTTATAGGTCTTCCATAAGGTTAGGAAGATGCTTGAAACCCAAAAAGTTAGACCATTAACCTAAAAGTTTAATTTTGTTCAATACACAATTCTTGAAATTTCCAAAAATTTCCCAACTTGGGTAAGCCATAACTTGGTCAGTTTTTATCTCATGATGATGATATTGGACTTTTTGGAAATCCAAAGATGTCTAATTCAATCCCTCTTTTAATCAATTTTTCATTTGAAGACTTTATCTTGATGCAAATGGTCTTGACAAAAAATGTCTTTTGTTGACTTTCTGAAAATGACCTGTAATGTATGAGCTTGTATCTTTCAAGTGGTGCATCTTTTGAACTTGAGGACAAAAGAGAAGTTGTAGGGAATGAGCTTCTCTTAAAAAATGAGCTTTGGTTGGGGAAAAATGAATAAAGTGTGTGAAAGTTATGCCTGGTCAAAGTTCAGTTGACTTTTCCTATAGAAACCCTAATTTAGCAATTTTTTACTTTTGATAGATTAGGAGTATTTCTTGAGGAACCATGATCAAATATTGATCAAATGATGGATATCAATTCAAAATGTTGATGTTGACCAAAAATCTTGAAGTTTGACTATATATAAGTCACAGTTGACTTTTGACCTAGTATAGTTGATTTTCAAACATTTGAGCAATTGACTGAGCAAACTTGTATTGTAGGGCATGAAATTTGGCATGGACAATCTTGAAGGCATATTAGGATAATGGAAAACATTTGAGACTTTTGTAGCTCACACATCTTGATGAAAAGTGGAACCCTAACTAGAGGTTCATTGCTTAGGAGGAGAATTTGTCTGGTCAATTCTTGGTCAACCTTGAGCAATTGAAGACCTCTAGGAGCATATCTTGAATAAAAATGGGAGGGAAAATTTTGGGGTACAACAGTCTCATAAATTTCCTTCTATGATTATACGATGACCCACGCCCGTCCCTTCACATCCAATGATTGGGCTTCTTACCAATCAATGGTAAGATAGAAACATTTAAAGGAGGAGGAAAAGAACATAGACCTTTTGAGTAGGTAGGACGCTCGTAGTTGCTTGTTTACAAATCAAAACCATTTCCACACTTACACTTTCAAAAACATTTTCAAAAATCAAACATCTCTTTGAACTATTTTCAAAACCAACACTTTGTATAAATTCTTATAGAGACGAGAATCATTACAAAGTTTGCCGCAACAAAGGCGTTTTCAAAATATTTTCAAACTTACACCCATCATAAAACACATTTTCAAACAAAGCATTTTTCAAAGTGATCTAGAAAATAACTAAGAGCCCGTAGATAACTACGGATGAAAAGGGTGCTAACACCTTCCTTTTTCATAACCTACCCCCCGAACTCAAGAAATTATCTCAAAGGTCCTTCCTGTTCTTTTCACCCTTTCCTTTATTGGATAAAAAGAAAAGTTGGTGGCGACTCTTGCTATCCGCAACAATTGCGATCAAACGCAAAATAACCAAGTTAGTTCTCCCACCGTATCACACTTCCGCTCATGAAAGGTCTTCGTTCCCCCCAAACTTGCATAGACTTCAATCTTCTATCGTGAAATTATTCTCCCATCCAAAAAGTCTTTTTTTGTCTTCTACAAAATAGGTTTAAGTAGTCTCGTTTTTCCTAGGTGATGTCAAAAGTCCAAAGTAGCCTCCAGGGTTCAAAAATACTAAAAATTCTCAAACTTAAGAATTTTCAGCGCCTGAGCTGACACGGCCCATGTCAGTGAACACGGGCACCTGTGTCAGCTTCTGTGAATCTTCCTCCAAATCGTACGCTTCAGCTGACTTGATACGGGTCGTGTCGTGTAACACGGGCACCCGTGTCGCCTTCTGTGATCTTCTCTTTTCCAACAATTAGCCCAGTTAAAATGACACGGGCCGTGTCGCCTTCTGTCATGCTTCCAACTTCATTTTTTTCCAGTCTTCTCATAACGGCTCGTGTCAGGTGAAACGGCCACCCGTGTCAGAGCTCTTGAAGCACTTCTTTCTGAACTTCTGAATTTTGCACTTTTTTGCTCCGATTTGTCCTGTTTTATTCTTTTAAACCTGAAAACACTGAAATACCAAACCACAACATAAAATATGGTCAAATGAAATAAAACACCAGTCAATTAAAAGAAACGATGACTAAAATAAATACAAAATTACTGTATAAAAACCACAGGTCAACAGCTCTACAAACAAACACAAAGCAAGATTGTGAAGGGCTATTCTCAAATATTTGGAATTGATTATTCATATACTTTTGCTCATGTTGCAAGACACGATACAATAAAGATATTATTTTCCATTATTACATAAAAAGGGTGGCAAATGTTTCATATGAATGTTAAGTCGACTTTCCTTCACTATTTTCTAAATGGGGAGATATATGTTGAGCAACTAGAAGATTTTGTGATCAAAGATCAAGAAGAAAAAGTATACTTACTTAAAACGGTTATATATGACTTAAAGCAAGTTCCAAGAGTTTGGTACAACAGAATTAATGATCATTTGTTGCACTTGGACTTTAACAAGGGCCTATCTAATGCTACACTTTATGTCAAGCATATTGGTATTGATATTTAATCATTTCTTTATATGTTGATGATCTTTTAGTAACATGAAGCAACCTAGCACTAGTTGAAGAATTCAAGCAAGAAATGAAAGATGTCTTTGAAATGAAAGAAGCACTAGTTGATCTTTTAGTCTTATGCCTTATTTTTTGAATATGAAAATCACTCAAAAGAAGAATGAGATTTGTATTTGTCAAAAAAAGGCAAAAGAGATTTTTAAAAAATTCAGCTTGATGAATGCAAAACAATGAACACTCCTATGAATCAAAAGGAGAAGTTCATCGGGAAGGGTGGGGCTGGTAAAGTTGATGAAGCTCATTTTAAGAGCTTGATTGGGTGTATAATGTATCTTACATCAACAAGGTCTGACATGTTATTCTCAGTGAGTTTGTTGTCAATATTCAATCATTGTGCTAGTGGAATGCACTTGAAGGCAACAAAAGAGTTGTAAGATACATTAAAGGAATTCATTATAGAGTTAAGCACAATAGAGTGAAAGACTTCAAATTATTTAGCTATTCAGATAGTGATTGAGCCAGTAGCTTGGATGATATGAAGAGTAGTTCAAGATATTGTTTCAACATAGACTCAAGTGCTTTCTCTTGGTATTTAAAGAAGTAAGAAGTTGTAGATCAGTCAACAACAAAAGCTGAGTTTGTAGCTGCAATAGAAGCGGTAAAACAGGCTATTTGGTTAAGGAATATCTTAGCGGATTTAGATCTAAAGCAATAGCCAAGTACATATATTTTTTGTTGAAAATCAAACAGCTATTCTCATATAATTTTGGTTGGGTTTACGTGAAATTTAACAAATAAAAGAGATTGAGTTAGAAAATGTATGAAGGAATATTTTGTTACTACTATTCTTAAAAGAAACTAGTACAAAATATGTAGTTGAACTATTTACTATTATTATATCATAAAAAAAATGGAAAAGTAATAAACCAATTTAAATCAATGACAGTCCAAAAAATAATAAAAAGGAGGATTAATCACATTGAACTTGGAGTTGATCATCAACTTGGCCATCTGAATTGAATATGAATTGATTTTTAGGAACAATCACTTGTCCATGCTGCTGCTGATTATACAAAGAACTTAGTTGATGAAAATAAGGACAAGTTCTTGAATCCATTCTCCTTTTCTTCTTATTCACATTAACATCCTTTGTTTTTCTAAAATACTTGTTTATGTTTTCCCATTTCTCTTTACATCTCTTTGCACTTCTCTTGTATCCCAACTCTAACATCCCTTCAGAGATTCTCTCCCACACAGGTCCCTTTTTTTCTTCAATACTATTCTTGTTGTTTCTTCTGTTCATTACAGTTGTGGTACATTTGAGGTTTATCAGTGCCAACACTTCATCTCTTGGCCACCTTCTCTTATCCTCTAACACTGGATTCTTATTGTTGTTGGAAGAAGTTGAAGGAACTGGTAACGCTGTTTCGCTCGAGCTAGGGTTTTGATCTGGTGATTCAAGACTATTAGGGTTTTGTGATGAGTGCAATTGTGATGTAGAACATACTTTTGTAGTTTTGTTGTTGACAATGATGTTTTCATTTGTGGAAAGATGTTTTTTCAAGAAATCAATTATGGTGGCTTGTCTATGATTTGAAATAGCTTGTTCTTGTGTCATCATGTTCATCCTTTCTATTTCTTGCTTTTTCCATTCTTGTTCTCTGGCAAGCTTCTCTTGATCTCTTTTGAGCATGTCTTGAATTAGCTTATTGTGTATTTCTTCTTGTTGGGCCATCATTTTGTTAACCACGGTCTCGCAAAAACACTTCAACATTTCAAATTTATCGCGTCGCCGACTCTTCCTCTTTCTATTTCTGTCCATCGCAACTTTGTCATCATCATCGTCAAATTGTTTGGTCACTATAATATCAATGTTATCGTCATCTCTTGAATTTTCTTCTTGGCGTTGAATCTTTTCGTTTTCTTCAGGTTGTTCATCAGCACCACAAGTTTGATACAGAGTTTGAAGCTCACTAGCAAAATCATTATGGTTATTGATCTTCAATAATGATGTGTTCTCATCTTCAAACTTCTCCTTGCACCTCTCACCACTCTTCTTAATCCCAACTTCTTCAAGCTTCCTGAAGACACAATCATATATACAATAATAATAATAATAGTAATACACAATACAAGAATAAACCACATAAGTAAGGATTTAAATTTTTTTAGTTACCTTGAGACATGGTCCCGTGTGAGGTGATCTGGGAAGCAATTTTCAATGGTAGATCTGATCTTGAAAAGTGCAAGACCTTCATCGTTAATCCATTCGGAATCGGTCAAGTGTGATGGGGGTAATTGATGATGATTTTGGATCTGGAAGTTGAATGAATGATTAAAGTTGGTGGTGTGATTGTGATGTTGTTTAGAAGAGTGGTGAGGCAATGATGAAAATATTGATGGGTAGAAGAGGTTATTATTAGATTGAGTTTGAAGCGAGAATTGATCATGAGGAAGACTAGTAGTAGTCCTCAATGGCTGAAACTCAAACTGCTTTGATACTCCTTCATCCAACATGTTTGCTGCTACCACTTCTACTCTATCATGCATGACTAGAAAGAAGAATAGAAATGCGTGGGGAGCATGGATGGTGCAAGTGAGTGCGAGAGGATAATGACGGTCTAATTAACTGCACGTGAAAAGAAACAGAGAGTGGGGCCAATGATTTTAAGGGAATCTTGAGATCGTATAAACACTTTGTTGATATATCGTACTACATGTTCACCACGTGCAACCTCTTTACTGTCTACTAGTCTATAGTGGACTGGACGTTAAGCTTCCAAATTGCATTATGCACAGTAAGACCGCATGTGAGTCAGTTCATCCACTAGTATTATTTTCAAACAACGAAAACCTTTGTGTTACACCATTTTGGTTCATGCCAAATAAAATGTAGTCGTAGTAACTTTAGTAATTTGATAGTATTATATATTATTATGTGGTAGGAAACTCCGTAGAGGAAGCATTATATCAATAAAACAAAGTACTTTTTTTAACTCAAAAATAAATACTGAGATATAACTAATAATTGAAAAAGGAAAGGGATGAGTTATAAGTCTGAGATTCTGAGGTAGTGTCTAGCAACAGAATCGAGGGCTAAAAGGCAAAATAATACACAAAAAGATAACGTGGGACCCCGACCTCCATCATAAACGTTGCTCGTGTGTGTGCTGTCACTATATAATTGATAGTTACATCAGGTACATAAGTGTGAACAACTGTACTAGCTGGCTAGTTTCACGCAAACAAGGCATTCAATTTCACACTACGTTCATCAATATCAGAAAAACACTACGAAAATATCAACATGAAGTCCACTCTCACTCTGTATGTTTCAAGACATTAAATTGGTTATTGAAAAGGAGAGCAGGTGCGTATGTATAACACTAACAATTAACTGTATACAACTTTCTGCCTATGGTCCAAAATTTCTAGAATTTTAAAGCAGACTTCAGTTAAACATTAATATTATCATGTGTCTAAGAGAAAGCATAGTAATGGAATGTTGCAGCTAAAAATACAAGAGGAAATAATAGAATTTCTACAATGGAAGAGTAAGAAGGCGTGAATGCACATAACGCACTAAAATCAATACATAGAAATTTTCTTAGATAAATAAAGCTAGTACTAACAGTGCTTGAAAGCATTCGACAATAACTTTCGGCAAAAATAATCACAGTGTTAAAATTCATTGCACTCCGGCAAAATATAGAGAGAACTATGAGTGGATACCACTCTACTTCTTCAATAAAGATACATATAACTTTCCAGACATCCACTGAAAATTTGAAATATCTGAGCTGAAACTTCTTTTTCTAGTGTTGTGATTATTACTGGTTTAACGTCTTCTGATAAGCCACCTGCAGCAGCATTTATAAAAGATTTATATGCACGGAAAACAGCTATGCGGCAAGAATAAAGAAAATATGCAAGGATCAAACTTGCTCAGATTTTATGTTTTTACAAGTCTATTGTTCATGAACGAATTACGAATAGAAGATTAGCACAATCATGATTAGCTTGAACAAACATTGTACCAGTAAAAGGCTTTTTCGATTTGGGTGCTTACAGATGTTGAAGTCTTCAGAAGCTCTCTTATCGCCATTGTTGCATAAGATGAAGAAGGAAGAGTAAGGGTCAATTTGAGAGCAGTATGGGAGTCTTGAGAGCTGGAGCCGTGGACAGATTCGTCATGGGGTAATCTTACTTCCTTGCCTGCAATATCATCAGAATCAGTCTCAACCTTTGGACCATCGTTGGAGCTCTCTAATTGGTTAATGCAATCAAAAGTTTTCTCCTCTTGATCATTTGGTGCACTCACTGGATTGACATTTATAGGTTGAGACTTCCCAATTTTATCTAAATCTGTCTCTACCAATGGCTTATGACTATCAGTATATGTAAGCAATTCCCTGCAATTGCATCCATTCAAAGACATTATTCAACAAGTGGACTATATGCAAAAAAAAAATGTAAAAATAATAATCTATTGAATCAAACAGATGGTTAACTTTGTTAAGTACCAATCAAAGTTAATTGGTTTCTGAAAAACCTTCCTGTAACTTCCAGTAACACTAGTAATCGAGAATTCCCTGATAACAAATAAAAATAAACTAGAGTAAGAGAACTGGCAAGCGGAAAAAAGTAAAATAGAGAGCGAATGTAGAATCAGACTCATTGAGATTTGAGACATGATTCTTATTATTACATACTTTGCATTATGCACGCTCTCAGTTAAACTGACTCCATCCTGACCAGTACAAACAAACATGTAACTAATTAGGAAAATAAATTATTTATAGACCAAACAATAAGTAAAGCAGGTTGTGAAAGATGCTAGGAAAGCACCATAGATTATTTTATTTCAAATTTAAGATCGTTGCTGATTTCATAGCAAGGGACTGTTTCCAGCTTGTCACAATAAAACGGACCAGAGAAGTAACAATTTTTTAATTTCCTCCAACATGAAATACAATAATCTGCTTAAGAATCCCAAAATGCAAACCAACCAAATATCACCTCAAATCATAGTTTGAAAGTGCACTGACACGACGGTCAGTCTTGGCTCCTTGAATATCACTCTTAAATTAATCATACAAATACAAAAATTAGTAAGCTAGAATTGCAAGAGTTCAAATTGATACGTACTTTATTTGTCAAATCATTATACACTTTGACTATATCGTTGGTTGGATAAATTGACCGTGAACTGCAAAATAATAAATATAGAGAGAAAATCAAATAAATATAAATCCCAGAGATTCAACAACCCCCAAAAAAACGACCACACATTATTTGGTCAGGCTTACCCTGGCATAGGAAGGACGACATCATCAATTGTATAACATTTTGAATTTAGATCTTCAGCATTCACAACCTGCCATATCAAGTAAACCCACTTCAAAATGTAAACCTTATTTAGAACACCATCACACACTTTTGTCGTTCCTTGTGTCACTATTTTTTGTTAAAAAACTTCCAATTTGATAATTTATCCTTCCCATTGTTGTATTCTACATGGTTTCTCCTAAATAAATAAAAATTCTATTTAAAAAAAATATATCAATTTACACTTCACCACCTTCCCAATGATCAACATCAATTAATCAACTTCTTACACATATAAGTGTGTGGAATTAATCTCCTAATTAGATAAATTTGTTTAACTGTAGTGTTTTGTTCGTGATTTTGGATACAGAGAGATATACTTAGACTTTAAAGTTATAAAAGGTAAAGTTCTGCACATAGATAGATGCATAAAAGGTCTGCAATATGTAATTAAGAAGCACCATCTGTTTCTTAAAAAAAATATATTGTAGATGTTTCTAGTGGAGTATATCGTGTGGCGTTTTTGGAAACTGTTGGGTATGCCTGGATTCTCAGACCATTTCCTGCTTACTTGCCTTACAGGTTTTGGATGAAGTATTGAAGCCAGATTTCTGTGGTCATATGCCATCCATGCTACACTTTGTAGCTTGAACAAATTTTTGGCATTTTCAAGGGGACTTCTTTGGTGACCACTGACCAGACTTCTTCGGTGACCAGACTTTGGTGACCAAAACAAAAGGACATGCATCTAAAGCAATAACTTGGTTTAGTAACAGACCTGTCATAGGCAAAAATAAAAAGACTAACCTTTACAATACTATTTCTGTTGTCGTGAATATCTCCAGAGACTTCATCTTCATTATTAGTGTCATAACTATCACCGCAGTCATCACCAGAGTCAAGTCCAACAATCTCTGCAACTTTTTCAGAAGCATTTTCTTTACAGTATACCAAGTCTCCTAATACTACTTGTTCAGTTCCTGCCACATAATAATGATTGTTCTTGGTAAGGATTGCATGAAAAACACATTGAATCCCCTAAGTATGTCAAGAGATGCAACATTGGAGGTTAATTGTCAGAGAAAGCAAGATAGAAATAGAAAGTTATTACAAATCACAACTTACCATATTTTTGCACCCTTGTACTTGCTGCATTGTTCCACAAATAGCTTTGATAACTATGCACATACCTAAAAGAACAGAAGAAGTGGAATGATAAAGTGAATATTTTTCATCTTTTATTTGTCTTCATTGCACACTTGCTCAACACGACATAAAAGAAAACAGTCTAAATAGCTCATTTAGAGCTTCAGCTTCATTATTTCAAAAGAGAATGAATGGAGTTAAAGAGAAGGGTCAATATGAAAAACAAAGTAACATGTGAAAGAGAATTTTTGGATTTACAATGTGTCTAGCCAAACATTTACTTCAAAACATATCAATTTGTTTAAATACTCACATCATCCTTAAAGTTCGTGGAATAGATTTCAAAGCCTGCAAGTAACTCCCAGGAAATTGTTTTAAACATTTAAGCTGCAGAAGATTTGTCAACAAAACTTGGTTATGACATCATACGTGGATGAACATAGTTGATAAACAATGAAATTAGCTTCATTCTCAAATCAAGTTAATGGAATAAACACATTACAAATGTTGAAATAGTTTTCCATGTGAAGCTTACCAAAGCTCTTTCAGCAACTAAGAATTGGGGCAACTGCTTAAGTGTCCCAGCAATGTCATTAGTATCTTTATAGTACTTGCGTGCCTTGGCTATTATATATTTTTGTATTTAAATAAGTTATGGAGAACAATGGAAATGAATACATTATTGTAAACTATTAGAGCACAGTTAATTGATTAAGACTTATCGTCTGTCATATATTCTAGAAACGACAAAAGGATATCTCCATCTCTTGGATCAAGGATCAAGTCCACAGCACGCTTCCATTCCCCCCGGAACAATGCGGCTCCAATAAGGTGAGTAGGCACAGAACCACTTCCAAAACGCTGAACAGTGAACATATATGTAGAATAAGTTGCTTATAAAGCTTAAATGAAAAATAAAACAAGTACAATAAACACAGCCTGAAATAAAATTTTATTACTTTATAAATGTTTCAACTCCGTGCAAAACCAGGGAAGACAAAACATAAAGACTTCTCAACCAGAAATGGAAAGATAAATTTGAAATACTAATGTATTTAAGCTTTTCTTTGATAGTTTTGGCGAAAGCCAGCAGCATGCCTAAACAAAACAATTCCCAAGCTGAAATTTAGACTCGAGTTCAACAAAGTAAGAGTAATTTTATGAGAATGTATGTATGCCTTAGAATATTCAGTCCAGGAATCCACAGCATATAAAAGTATAAAAGTATATATTACAAAGACAAAGGGCTGACAAATGTTGGAGACAGTGAAATCCGCTTTCAAATATAATCTTCAAACCAGAGTTGTCAATAGCGGGCGCTCCGGCCGCTATAGCGGCGCACCGTAGCGGTGCGGCACCCCCCGCGCGCTATTTAGGGTGCGGTAGCGGAGATGAAAAAGCGGCCGCTTCAGCCGCGTTCCCGGGTAGCGGGAAGTTCCCGGGCGGAGCGGCTCCGATTCTCTTTTTTTTCTTAAACAATTTTTTGGACCAAATTACTTAAATGCCTCTGTTTTAAAACAGTTTTTGTTTTCTTTCTCTCTCATTCGCTGTGTTTTATCGTGCCCTAATTCCTCAACTCTCCTTCTACGATTCTGCCGCCATCTCCCTGCAACTCTCCTTCTTCGATTCTTCCTCCATCTCCTTCTGCCATCTCAGGTAATTTCTTCTAATTCTTCAACTTATTCTACTTCTTTTCTTTCTACTTCTTTTCTTTCTACCTTCTACTTCTTCTATTTTTGTTTTGTTGTAAACACCGTTTCTTTCTATTTTGAAGAAGTTGAAGATGAAGAATTGGAGGAATATGAAGAAAATGAAGAACTGGAGGAATATTTTGATGATGTTACATGATTTCTATGTTTGCTTGAATTTTCATATGATAGTACTAAGTTTGAATTTGAATCTTTATGTTTTGAATCTTGATTAAACATTGTTCTTGGTTTGACATTCGATTTTATAAATATTTTATGAGTGTTGTAAAATTAGTTTAGTATTACATGACATATGTTTTATAGATTATTATATAATTATTAGTATACAAAAAGTTATCCCGTTATCCGGGATCCCGCTATTTCCACTTTTCCCATTCCCGGGGGTCGGCCGCTCCGCTCCGCTATCCGGGATTAATAACTCTGCTTCAAACAAGATCTACAAATGAGTTTCGTTAATTAGATAAAATGCATGACGTACGATTCTCAGAGGCTAGTGGAAGGCTCTAGAGAATGGATTTTGAGTTGTTTGCATTTGAACAATCAAAAACATATATGAGGCAGCAACTATAAGGTGGGGCAACAGGCAATGTCACGAAATGTCGCCGGGGTGGACAAATATGGTGGGTAGTGGAAGGCCAACAAGATAGTGAACTCGGCATTGCAAATACGAGAATGTTATGATGGATGAGTGATTAGACAAGACAGCCCCTAGACTACTATACAAATATCGCCACTATACTGAATATTGTAATATAAGCTTTTAATTTAAAACTTATACTATACTATACATTAAAAATTATAAAAATGAACGATCACATGAGAACATAGAGATAGAAGTAGAATAGAGGTGTCAGTAGGAAGAAGAAAATCAAAAGTAGAATTGTGGAAAAAAAGGGTGAGCAACATAATAAAGAAAAAGGTCGCTTACTAAAAACAAATACATGAGATGTTAACAACCAAGTATTCAAAGCATACACATAACAAAGGAGTGTGCGCTTGCTCGAGAGGAAAACACTGGGATTGGCCAGAAACAATAATGCTGACAAGCAGACGTGTTGGAGATTTGCATTAAAACAGATGAGAATACAAAAAGAAGTCGGTGTTTAAAGAATAAAGCTTTAAATAATGTTTCAAACCCTAGAATTTGTTTTGGAGAGAAGAAAGTAGGTGAAATAGACAAATTAACTCAAAAATTGTATGACAACTCAAACAATGGGGACTAAGGAGGACCATGTGCCATCAAAAATTATGACAACCCTATTGCACAAGTCAGTTCTGAATAGTATACAGGGAAGACCATGCGCCATCGGAAATTATGTTTTACCAATTTTTCAAGATTCTTATTATCAAATAAATAAGATATAAGTTGTCGTTTACATTATGTGTAGGTTGTCCATAAGCAAAATCATCACTGGTGCCTACTGCATGACAGAGATTTTACTAGGAAATAGACTTGCCAAGAACAAAATATCTTGGACCAGATAGTTTAAAAAGTTTTATCATACATGAGCATAGAATTAGGGAATTTCACCTCTCACTAGCATAAGGAAACTATCCAATTGTCTGCTATTGTAACAAACCCAAGTACAAGATAACTAATTCAAGAAAATAACAAGAGGAAAAGGACACACACAAAGAGTGGAAGAGATCACAAGGGTTAGACTTAGAAAGTACTTGTAAACCAAAGTAGTTAATAAAGCCATGCCGTCCTAAAGAATCTGCAGCAGCTTTTATGGTATCTACAGAATCTGCAACAACTCCTCTGATAAAGTATGTCAGTTATAAGGGTAAATATAAAAAGGTACAGTGACATCAACTAGTATAAATAATTGTAACCGATTGAGATATTAAATTATGAGAGGATAAGAGTTTTGTGTATAGATAATAATCTCACCGTAATGTGATTGTAAATCTGTTTCCCAGTAGCTGGCCAAGACATAATCCTTCATTAACGTAACTGGACAATAATACATTTGTTGTTTCAACATCCATAAGAAAAACAAATGAATAGAGGAACATCGAGCACTTATAATTCAATCCCCTTACCAGAAATCACCCACTTTAATACCAAACAACTTCCCATTAAGGGAAGCTAGCTTGCTTGCTTGCTGCTTATAAACAGTAACCTAGAAACAAATATGAGAAATAAACCAAAGGAGTGTGCACTTGCTCGGGAGGAAAACGAAGAAAGAAATGAATGTATACTGCAAAATCAGAAAAATAAGAAAATTGATTACCCTCTGGGTCGTGACAGCACGCTTATCCTTTGTACCCGCAAATCCAAATGATTTCGACTGTCAGATAACTACCAGTCAGTTAAAAAACTTAACAAGACTTTCTAGCAATCAGACTGCAGATATTAATTTACTTTTCAAAGGGTGGTTAGGGACAAAGGAGCCAGGAGCACGCAAGACATAATACAAACAGAGTTCAATTTCCTTACAGGCCAGTCATCACAACAAACATATGGTTGGGAATTAACCAAAGAAAAGAAACGTGAACACACATTCATTTTCAAACTACAGTATGTAAACTGTGGATTATCACGGTGAAATGCAATCAAACTTGGATGGCGGTGAGTCAAACACATTTCCAAACATACACATAATCAATCATCAACAGATGTCTACTAATTAAATATATCCAAAATGAGCAAAACACACCCTGATGCCAAGCATATGTCCAAGCACCCCCAAAGCTTCCTGGGTATCTTTGTTCTCCTTATAAAGATGAAACCTATAAATTACATCGGTAGAAACATTCAGCCAATAGCAATGAGCAACTTAACACAATATATAAAAGTGGGAATATATCATCACCGAAAATGAAATGCAAGCAAGAGTTGATATCACTTTCAGGTAATGACTGAATAAAATGTGTTAGTAAAGACAATACTTAATTTGAAGTCCATCCTTCCAGTCGGAACTCGGAAGCCTCAATTTCAGAGCTTGGTGAATTTAGTTACAAGGAAAAATGATATTTTCTTTACTCGTCTCTTTATTATTTGCTGAGATAAAGCAGTTTTTGTGAGTAAATTTGATAGGAGCATGAGTAATAAGAGTTAATTATGATATTCCCTGAACTTTAGGAACTCAGAAGCCTCAATTTCAGAGCTCGATGAATTTAGTTACAAGGGAAAACGATACTCATTTTGCTCGTCTCTTTATTATTTGCTGTGACAAACAATTTTTGGGAGTAAAGTCAACATCAACAGACAATAAATAAGAAAAATCCGAGTGGAGCAGATTAAGGTGTATATTAAAGTCACCAATACAAGATAAATTGTAATATAATTGAGTTAATATAAAGATCAACATGGAATACATTGAGCATTACTAAATTTATATTTTAACAAACAAAATGCATTAGAAATCAAATTGATAGACTCAAGAGTGAATAAGAACAAAGGTCGTAGACAGGTAGGGTATTATTCAACAACTTTTCTCTTGAATCAGAGTAATCCCAGATATAATAAAGGGAGAAAATAAGATACAAAATGTAAGCCTTCAAGGTGCTCAAGAGAACCTCAACATCTCTGAGACCTCTACAATCCTCCACTCTCTCTTGCATAACAAAATATACTAAGAAATTGGCTGTTAAAACACAACACTATCAGTTATTTAGGGCATTATCCCCAATTACTCCTCTATTTCTACTTGCATAGACCCTTCTAATTTAAGATCAGGCCTGTTATCAGAAACTTTACCTAAGGAACTTGCCGGCATCTGGCCAATTTTCAGAACCTCTGCTGTCATAAGGCTTACTATCTCGTTCTTTCCGCTTCCTAGAGTTTTTGTCTCTGTTGTTCGATTTACCAGAATTCAATCTCACACGGATGCATTTTGAGGAAGCATCGGGTCCATCAACTGTGTCGGTAACCAGGAACTTTAAGTTTTCCCTAAAGAAAACATGCACTGCCTGATAGATTTAAGAATCATAAAGTTATGTTGTTTTCAATTGGAGGAAAAAAACTAAAAAATGAATTCATTATGCTTGCCTCATAGAAGAATCAAATCAGTCTCATGTTTCTCATCTTAACTAAATGTAAAAGCAAATAATAATGCTGAACTAAAAAATAACAATAACAAATGAACTGCAAATACAGAGGATTCAAATGACAGTCGGGTTCTTGAGCTAAAATACACATGATCCATGATGAAAACTTCAACCCATTATCATGAGACACCCTAATCCTACCTAGACTTTGAACTTCTATCAGAGCACTCACTGATATAGATACTTTATGATATACATTCCAAATCCATTGTGATGAGACACCCTTGTTCCCAGACTTTGACCCAATGAAGCACAGATACTCGATACGCTTCGATATGCCGCCAAACGTATCAAAAGAGTATCAAAAAAATTATTTAAAAAATCAAAAATAGAAAACCCCGATACGTCTAGATACGGCGGCTACACGTCGCGATATGCTGGCAACACGTCTCGATATGCTGGCAACACGTCTCCAATACGCTGCGGATAGAGCAGTTAATCTCATGACTATTCATACTTCTAGAACATGAATCAATCTTCCTCATCCTTAATTCTTCTTTTCTCAACTTTAATTACCTCATCACTTTCATTTTTCTATTACAAGAATCAAACTTTTCCTTTAACTACTTTTCTCTCAATTTTAACTATCTTTTCTTTTTCTCATAATTCCTTTACCAATTACTATCAAATTTTGCAAACTCAATTGGTTTTTGTTTGAGAATGATTTGACTAATGTTTAATTTTAATGTTTTATATATGTATCTTAAACATATCGTATCCTATATGTTTCAATGACTTGTATCTCCGTGTCTGATACTTGTATCGCGTTCGTGCTTCATTGCTTTGATTTAATATCAAGTTACTAACTGATATAGGTATCACATCATATGCTCCCAAATCTTACATAGCAAAAGAAAGACACAAGACTAGTACTAACCGTCCGATGTGATTTATCAGAATCTGCAGAAAGAACAATAGGAGAGAGACTCTCTTCGCCGCCAGCATTAATTTGATTAATAAATTCCTCCAAACAGGAAGCATCAGAATCCCCAGCAAGAGACTTAAAAGCTTCAATTTGAGAGGCATAACTTATAACTTCAGTTTCAGATGTATCTGTTTTATTTTCCTCAACACTCTGAAACAAGAACAATAGGATAAACACTAAATGAACACTCTGAAACAAGAACAATACGATAAACACTAAATCCTCATACCTTGGATTCCACAGCAGAGACCTTAGATTCCTCTGCAATGGCTTCAAGTGAAGACAGCTCAACAACCTTTCCGTCAGTGTCCACTTCATGCACAATAAAATCAGAATACCTATATCACAGATTAAATCGAATCAATGTTGAATGGTATTTTTACTATCCATCATTTCATACATCGACGATGTGCTAACCTTTGCTTTAAAACTCCGCGGAAGCCGGGGAGGTTGGAAATGTAGCAGGAGATGCCAACGTCGTGTTCCTCCATGGAATTCATTGTCGCAATTAGGGTTTTGGTTCAGAGCTGTAAAGAGCGGGAGGATGAACGTGTGACGTGCTACGCTACTGCAGTTGCATATGAGGTGTTCGACGGTTTTCCTCTAAAACATGCCGGTTTCTTTAGCAAAAACTGTCGTTGGGCTTCAACCCGTTATTTATTTGGGTTTGTGAAATAAAATAAGAAAATGTTGTTATTAGCACTTCCGTATTTGTTAATACATCAAGTGTTAAATATATGTCGCGGCGGAAAAATTTAATATTAAATTATTGATTAATTTAACTCAGAAAAGTAAAAGTCGATATTGAACTTTATTATTTCTAAAAGAAAAAGCGAAAAGATCGAAAAGAATCCACAAAAAAATTTGAAAACAAAAGAGAGATTTAGGTATGGGGTTGATTATGCAAGGGGAATATATTAGCACCCTTCATATTTATGGTACTTCATAGGAATCGCTTACATTTGTTCATGAAAAGAGCTTTTGTTTGTTGATTAATTTTAGGTGAAAAGACATTTTATCAAATTCGAGTAGAAAACTCAACTTACTACCCACGAGTATGAGGAAATGAGCAATTACATCATCTTGATATGGAGAATTTTACTTGAATTTACTCGACAAGCATGTCTCAACATTCAAGTGAAAAATGTCAATCAATTTCACAACATATTGTAGAAGTATAGGCATTTGCATCACTTCAAGAATAGACTTGATTGTACCTGATTAGAAGAAATTGTCAAAGCCCACAAGCTTCAAGTCGAACAGCAGTTGGATGTGAAGTGGAGGTGCCTGCAAGACACTTTGATGCCAAAGTAAGGTTCAGAGCTAATGCAAGTGAGTATGAGAATTCGAATGAGTGAATGAATATCGGACTCTCTCAAGTGAGAGGGTATTTATAGTCCTCAACGTTGGGTCAAGATACTCATTGATAGGCTGAGCAAACAAGCCCAAGAATGGAAGCTGACATGTCCTACGTGCATAGTAGGGGCCAGCACATGGTCCCCAACCTGGATGGATTCCTCCGAACTATCAAGAAGATATGGATGAGGTCTTTTCGGAGTCAAGAGAACTTTGTGATATTCGGGGGTGTTGAGTGTCGGCCTTACGAAGAGGGTGCTCAGAGGATTTGTCTTGGTCGATGAGAAGTGTGGATGGTGTCCATGAGGAACTTCCGAGCATTATTGGTTATGCTCACCATTCATGGATTATCACCGTAGGCCAAAACCAAGTCAACTAGAAGAGTGGAGTTATTGCCCGACATGGTTGAGGGAAGACTCTTCCCGTTGGCCTTCTCATGTAACGTAGTTGGATTGGGCCTTGTATGATGTTTGGGCCAAGTGTAGGCCCAGTCTAGAACAGGAGTCCCTCAAGTCGTTGCTCTTGACGGAAAAGGAGTTATGACTTAAAACCAACTTCTTCGTATGGCGAGCACAACTTAGCTGAGGGTTTTCACCGCGCTGAATGATGGGGGTCGTTTTTATGCGTGGCCACTGGAGTAGAGATTGGAACTTGCTTCACGGAGAACATTTTGGTTTTCCTCGACTCGCGGGGAGACGGAGTTTGAAGTATGTCTACCTCGTAAGCTATGTGGTATAGCTTTTGGTCGCGACTATTTGAATAGATACTGACTTCGCACACGGAGAAAGATCATCTGCTCCTCGACGGGCGAGGAGACGGAAGTTTGCAGGATATAGCCACATGGTGTGGCCTTTGGGATAGAATGATGGCCTAGGGAGTAGGGGTCATTGTGACCCTGTGCGTGTAGGTGGCAACGAGAAAGGCAGTTAGTGTGTTGTTCGACACGACGCTTCATATTTTGTGTCAGCTCTATAAATAGTGTCTTAGGGATCATTTATAATATTTCCAACTCTCACTCTCTCATTTCTCCCTATTGTCTTTAGTTTTTCGTTGTCTTCTATCTCTTTCTCCAACCGCAAGCGCCGTTGCAACTTCCACCGCAGACTTCTCACTGACATTAATCAAGTAAGTTATTTCCAGTAATTACTGTCATTTACGTTTGGCTTTTTTGATAATCTTTGACGCGATTCACGACCCGGTGGAATTTTGTTCGGGATATTCATACGTATCTTCGTTATATTCGCGAAATGGCCCGTGAACTTTACTTGTTCCTCGTTCTTGTACCCCAAAATTTTCCCTCCCATTTTACTCAACACATGTTCATTGAGATCCTTAACTTGCTCAAGGATGCCCAAGAGTTGACCAGACAAACTCTCTCCTAAAGCAATGAACCTCCAGCTAGGGTTTCCATTTTCATCAAGATGGATGAAATCCAAATGCCTTATATGCTCTCCATAGTCCTAATATATTCTCAAGACCATCCATGTCAAGTTTCATGCCTTACACAGGAGGTTTACCCAGTCAACTGTTCAGATGCTTGAAAATCAACTATGTTAGGTCAAAAGTCAACTGTGGCCCACATACAGTCAAATTTCAAGATTTTTGGTCAACATTAACATTTTGAAGTGATATCCATCATTTTATCAAGGTTTGACCATGATTCCCCAAGGAATGCTCTCAATTCATCAAAACTCAAAAATTGCTAAATTAGGGTTTCTCAAGAAAAGTCAACCAAACTTTGACCAAGCATAACTTTCTCATACTTTATCAGAAATTTCTCATACAAGTCTCATTTTGAATAGAATCCAATTCCCTACAACTCATCTTCAACCCTCATGTTCAAGAAATGCACTCATGAAAAGATATTAATTCAGACATTATAGGTCATTTCAAAAAGTCAATAAAAACACCTTTTGGGTCAAAGCTTCTTACATGAACATGAAAAATTAAATTGAGATGAAACCAAATAGGTTGCTTAGGGGACATCACAAGATTTCTAAAAAGTCCAAGATCGTCACCATGAGATAAAAATTGAGCAAGTTATGGCTTACCCGAGTTGGGAGAATTTTGGAAATTTCAAGAATGGTGCATTGAGCAAATTTAAATTTTTGGGTCAATGGCCTAACTTTTTAAAGTTCAAACATCTTCCTAAGCTTATAGAGGACCCATAATTTCATTCCCACCTTACCTTGTTTTTTTAACTATTTTATTCATATTTATTTTGATTTTATTCCCAAAAATACAAAATAAATTTTATAAAATAATAAATGGTGGATCATGACAATTGGGCTTGTGTTTTGACTCAGCTTCAGGCCCATAATTTCGTGCTACAATGACCAGATACATTCAAGCAAGATAAGGCATGTTTTGATAAAATTGGAAGGCCTTGAATGTGTTTGATTTTTGTTGGGAAACACTGAGTTATGGCCATGATTTTTTCCCTTTAATGGTGTCTCCTCACTCCACACTACATATACAGCATCCCTGCAAGCCATTTAGGGGGATATAGCTTGGAGAACCCCTGCCATTTTGAAAAAAGATCACAAAGTTGCCCAAATCGAAAATCAATTTCCATCCTCCATTACTCTAAACCAAGGTTTTTGGTCCACTCCTGGAGGCTCCTTGAATCCATTCCAACCATTTTCGAGCCTTGAAACGCCCCAAAACACCGCTACCAAGTCACACGGTTTGCATTTTTGTTCCATTTTAATTTTTTTAATTCATGCACTATAAACACATTCTAATTATGCATTACTGACCATGCTCGTATTTGCAAGCTATGTGCGTGGTTTGATTTGATGTTTGGCACAGGGATTGAATATCACCATTGTTAGGGTTCCAAGCTTAAAATTGGGATTTCTGGATTTAGCCAAAATTAGGTCTAACCAAGGGTCTTGTGGTGCTCAGGAGGTTGAGGGCAACTCATCCATGGCCTTACCATGAGTTTATTATGCGTTTTGTTATTATTTTGAATTCAGGGTTTTTTTAGTGACAGATAAAAAATTGTCGCTATAGGTGCAATGATCTAAAATGACGGACAGAGGTGGAAGATAATTGCGTGGCAGCCTCCCAATGGCTCGTTTGAATCAGCGCGCCATTTTTTCTTATTTCTATAGTATTTACTTTTTTTCTTATGTATTATTATTGATTGATTTGATACAACAAATGACCATCCAGCTCAGTTTGTAGAAAAGCGCTTTGTGAAGGGAAGGGACATGGGTTCGAGTCCCAGGTCCATCATTTTATTTTTCTAACAATTATGGATTGCAGATCCAGTGTATACTAGCTACGCAAGCCAAGTGTGTACTTTCCAGATCATAGTCATCAGATCTTGTTCAATCTAGATCAAGAGGCTTCAAACGTACAAGCACACCATATGCCCTTAAGGTTGCTCCTCACTGAATCAAGTCAGCTGATGGGCTTCTCCTAAACGGGCAAACATTTTCAGTAAATGCCCCCCAAGTTGCTCATGACACCAGGCCCAAATTCCTTTATTTCTTTTTTCTAATTTCTTTGTTTATTTGGTCTCAGTTTCTTGTTTTATTTATTTTCACAAAAAAAAATCATTTTTTTCAATTAAATCATGAAATCAGAAATTCAATAAAAAATTAAATTTAGTTTTTTTTCATAAAGTATTTAATTGCAATTAATTAATTAGCTTAATTAGATTAATTCAAATTCTTTTTTTTTGTAATTAAAATCCAATAGAAAATTAGGTTAACTTGAAAACTTTTTTTTATATATTTAAAAGTAAATAGAAATTAGGTTAATTAGAAAGATTAACTGCCTTTTCTAAATAAATAAAAAAATCGCTTCTCTATTCCCATCTTAATTCTTCGCGCGCATTTTATTTATTTATTTTCCGAATTATTGTAATTGTATCAAGCTTGTATTAGTTTAATTAGGATGTTAATTTCCGCATCTTTATTTTCTGTCAAATATTTGTGTATATGCCCAAAAGCCTTGTAATAGCGTAGATTTTCTTTTCGCACTCTTTAAATTCTGTAATTATTAACTGCCTATATGTATGAATAATAGGATTGAATGGCAAGACAAATAATTTTAAAAATGGTAGATAACCCTAATTGTGCAAAGATAATTAACTGGAAAAACACACTTGCACATGCTCACTCCTAGGGTTTGC